GGATGTCATCAAACATAACTAATATACGGTCCTGGTAGATTTCATATCATTTTGCAAAGCTTATTGATTGAGACGATTTTAATGTGAAAGTTATAAGTGGATAGCAAGAGTTAAAAGATTGTAAGATACACCATTCATTGCAATGTAGTGTTTATGTGAATAAACGTTTTTCTTACAATTCTTGTATTTAAAAATCATGCACAGATAACACAATATCTTTTAAGTAACAGAGAAATATTTCAATGGTTGGCTTGCATATATTTGTGTTACATTTTTAAGATTAGTTTCATCATGAGCTGGTTAGTTATTTGTAATTTTCAGAATCTCACAGGTGTTTCGTCTTCTCGCAAATAGAACCCGATAAATCTAGGACTTATGAAAACTTCAGTCTGTTTATGATAATCATGGAATCTCATTGTTGTATTCCATATATTTAAAAAATCCATAATCCACGATTCTCCATAGAATTTCTCGAACATTTTAAGTTCCTCTCTTGTTCAGTTATTAAGTTAGGTCTTTTTTTCTGGAATAGAACGAAATGCCTATCCACTGTCTTCTGATTTTCATTGGTACATCGATTGGGTTTAGTCGGTGACGAATAAAGAATTAAAAAACTAAACCAATTTACATAACCTTCGTTCCGATTATCCGAAAACAATTTTAGTTAATTTATTTCTAACTAAATAAAATTAAAATGAAATAAGAATACGGCCCATGTCTGAAGTTTTTCCAGACATAACTAATTGCTAAACAAAATGTTAAACAATCATTATATTCAGTAATGTCGGTAAGTGGCTAGCAATGAAACACAGTACGTCGGCTACGTTCTTCTTCGAACTTATTAACTGATCGTACTTGAATCCCAGTATCGAAATTTACACTCAGACTTCAAATGAGGGCTTGTTACATCTAACACAAACGAATTATTGACCGAGCTATTTCATTCAGATAGCTTGTGAATAAATATAAATGAAAACTCATTTATTCAATGATTCACATATAAGAACAATGACTGACCAAATGCAGCTATCTGAACTCAGTGGACAATGGACAGTGATTTGGAGCTAAAGGTACTTGGTTCGAGTCCTAGTGTGTGTACTAGCACCAAGTTGTACGAACTCAGTTGAAGAGTCACAAATAAGACGAAAGGTGTGTATTGGATTTCTGCGCTAGTCACTGTCTGATTTTCTTAAAAATTAATGACTAAGCGACTATATAGAAACGAACCTCTAAAGATGTATATATATACTGAAAGATGTCAATCAATTCAACGCTTTAAAACTTAAAACGAAAAAAATACAGACTTTTACAAATAGTATTTGTTATATTAAAAACAACCATTCTGAATATGAGAATTTTCCTAGATTAATTTTTTAGCTACCATTGAATAAAAGTGGTTAGGTTAACAATGAACAACCAAAAGATTTTATAAGAGATAATATAAACAATACAATTGAGAATTCAACTTCCTTCAATGAGTCATAATACGGGCAAAACAATCTATCAATTTATTTAGAAACTAGATTTATTTCCACCAATTACAGAGGCATTTCCTGAAATTCTCTGTCTAATAAGATCAATCATACAGTGTTTGCTTTCAATTGTATTTATCACTATATATTTGTATGGATTCCAAATGAATATCAGTACTGTAAACATGAATTTTAATTCCGTTCTAATTCTCGGACAATTTTGCTGTTAGTTGTTATTATAGAAAATCCATTAGTTGAATTGAATATCTTACTTTTGAAATAAACTAAGTTTATACAGTTTAAAAGATCATTCCTTTTGGGTATAGACGTTGTCAAATTGTTAAAGGTGCATTTTCTCTTTTATCAATTTATCATAAGGATGTTTTTAATACTTTATTGTATATAATCGGGATACGAGGAGGATGATGGTGTCTATTACAGACAAATAAATATTCTCTTGAGTGAATTACATTAGTTTGCTAATGATACTCTTGTAAGATAACTAGTTATGAATGGTGTACAATATTTAGCTTTTATTTACAAATCTTGTAAAACATTTCAAAATAGTTTAATTTAGATGCATGTGACTTCAATGCTAGATTGTATGTCCTACTTATGCAAGTAATGAAAATTATAACTTAGAAACAAACAAACCTCAAATGAAGAGGTACGATTTGTCATTGATGATGCATGTAAGATTAATTACTGTGTGATTATACCAAGTCATCTTTAGCCCTGTACACATACCTTCAAACGCCAAGTCCACATAGCCACATTTCAGACCCTAGGGAGTTGTTCTTTTACGATGTTCAAATGCCAACAGTTAATAATAACTGTGAAAGATTAGGATATTCAAGTTGTTATGGATAGTTTCATAGTCTTTAAATAACAGCTTGACAGATATTAAACGTTGTTTATTATATAAGAAGAACTAACTGCAATCTAAAATATAGAATAGTAAATTTCAAACGATAGATATTTCACTCATGATATCTAAAGTTCCTGGGTTTTAGTTCAAATGGATTGGCTCGTATACACTAATCGGTATGAAATTATTCATTATCATAAAATGTTTTTAGCAATTCTCAAATCCAAATTACAAGTAACCTCGTTTGTCAACAGTTTTATCGATATTATTGGAAACAGTATTATCGATCAATCTATAACAAGTATAATCTATAAATTCTATTAACCAAAATACTGTTGATCTGCTGATATACACTTTAAACATAGATCGCATAAATGTTGATAAATTCGTAGAATAAATAGTTAATTCTAAACCAATGGTGATGAAATTCGAAGATAAATTGAATTGTGATTAACTTCGGAAATTACATTCAAATCAATAATTATGAAAAGAAAAACATTTTTAATAAAGATAACCATTTGATCAATGTTACGTGACTGTTAAAAACCTGGGAGCACTGTGTGACCGTTTCGTCCTAGTATGAGACTCCACAGAAGTGCGAAACCACGATTCCAAACACGGGATTCAACACAAGATCTTCGGTCTTATCCAAATAATTAACCTCTAGATCAATGGTATTAATGTCTAACTTCAAAAATTCCATGACATTGCGCGACCATCTTTTGTGTCTTCTGTGGGTAACTGCTTCACATTCGACACGGTTGAACTCTACCGGTCATGGCCTAAAAATGTATTTAAAATACGTTCAATGTAACTCAGTGGAGAAGCCCAAGTTTATATTTTTGGTTCATGTTGATGTCTTTCATGTTAGACCAACTATTTTAATGAACTATCTTACTCGAATTGAGTAGAATGACGTTCAAACTAATGCTATAATATATGAACGTTTTGAATCTACAAAACTGATCGGAAACTTTGTTTATCTGTTTGTTTGTTAGTTGCAGTGATCAACACATTTGTACAATATTTCGAGAAACTCAAGTCTTGTTTTATTTTCATTCCAAACATTCTTGAAAAGTGTGTATACTCATTGATTACAGAATGATAAACATGTTATTGAGATCGCGAGTAATTCAAAGAAAGCGAAATACGATGAACCTGAATGAACCAATGTTTTATTTCTACAAAAAAGCGGCTTTAATTTAAATAATATTTATACATAAATTGTCTAAATTGCACAAGAATCAAAGGTTTCAAAAACAATGATTCATAGAATAGATGGATTATGGAATCCAGGTCCCATCTTTTGTTTTGGTTATGACTTGTCATTTGGACATACCTGCATGTTGTCACTTAAATTCAGTGCTTTTCAGTTCGAAAGTGACATTTTCCACTGAGCTATTAATCTGAAGTAGCTATTGGCTTGTTTCGTGCAAAATTAGCAATAGGATTATCTGAACCATGTTTAATAATGATAAAATAATAATCTTATCTGGAATGATAGTAAAGGCTTCAAAATTGAACCGTCCTATTTAGTGAATTCAAAAGTACGAAATAATCTGACATTAGCCATAAATCATTTCTACTCAACTAACTACCAGTAAATAATGTTTACTGGAATACAATATTATTTCTGGTTAATTTCAAACGTCTGATTTTCCAGTTTAGTTTCTATTCATAGCATTTAGAGATCATCTAGGCACCCTAAGGAATTTTCAGACATTAGAAATAATAATAAATCAACCAAATGATAACTGTGATTAATTTTTTAAAAAATAAATTTGGTGAGATACATTTTGTTATATCCCGACGACAATTATCAATGGTAATTTTTGAGAAGTATTTATGGACAAATATTATACGTATATTCTTAATGTATAACTATTCAGTAGCTAGATTATGTATATCTATACTCCTTTTATTTCAAGTTTTATTTTGACCCATAGACTACCGTTCTTGAATGGTGCCTAGTCTACTAATTGCGGTCTCCCACATTCACAGCCACTTTTGTCTAAGCCTTATATAAATCTTATTTTCTATTTTATGGTACGATGTGGTCTATTTGATTTGTATATAAACCCAGTATTTTAGAAATACATGATTCATATCACGAAGGCTGTGATTGGTGTTCTGGACTCAAGAGGCAGGGCTAGGCAAGAAGACGGACCGATAAGGACTGTATACTACTCGTACGGGTTTTATGCGTCATCGTTCCGGTCAATAAACCACTATTCTCTATTTCGCGGTATCATTACGTTATATATTGATAGGGGCATAAGGTCACAAGTTATAACACAGTAATAAAGTGGATATCTATCTATGAAGTGTATTCATGTAAAATTTTAATCCGTACCAAAATATGTAAAATGCTCTTCTAAATACAGAAACGTAAACATTGAAGTAATTTATGGCTATTATTCATCACCAATAACATTTAATCATTGTCACGTTTATTGATTTTCATCACTTGAAATAGCATATATGAAATCGGTCATTATATTTCTGTTGGATTATTGGCAGGAGTTATTTTTTAAATTACCGACTTTCAAGGTGTTTTGTTTTAGTATAACAACCTGAATTCTGTACCAGAAGATGATTTACTAGGATATCCCTAAACTTAATGAGTACTCATAAGTTCTGTATATGTATATTTATATGTATTTTGTTTATTTTCTTAATCGTTCAAGTTTCATTTAATACAAATAATATTAAGAACGTCTATTTTTGGCTTCCATTGCATTTTCATCAAATCTTCAAACTGTTATCATTGTCTTGAACGTGTTTAGAAAAATAATAATACTTTCACAAGTAAACAACTCAGCTCATAGAGAATGCAACTTCACCTGAATCAATTACATAATAGTAGTATATTTTTAAAACCAGCTTGTTAAGTCATTTCTTAGAAACCTTCAACTGATTTGAATTAGAATTTTCCATACATATATTTAATTAATTATTTATTATTCTGTTTAATTCACTGAAAACAAACAAGGTGAAAGTAGTATGTTCTTCAAATCTAAAATCATTAAATTATATTAACATTGATAAGGAGGTAAAGTAAAGGAAAGGAGACCCTTTTCAAAATGATTAATAATTAAATAATAATCAATAAAATGATGAAAATAAAAGAAAGAAATCAATTAATTAATTAATTAATTAAGCAGAACAAAATGAGAATCTTGCTTAGTTGAATTTTTACAGTATAATGAGAAGAAGCATTAAAACATCAATTCAATGATGAATAAACTGTGTATAGTAGTAATTTGATAGTTTAAAGGAACAGAAAACAATAATTTGATATAATGGTTCTCTTTATTATTTTTTTTCTTTTTTGGGTAAATATTCTGTGGAAATAATCAAGCAATGTATAGTATAGTCTTATATGATTGTGAATATCGACTAGAATACTATTGGATAGATTGAAATATTCCTGATTCTTTTGTAAATGAGAGAAAAAAAGTTTTTTTCTTCTGTATATGGTTGTAAATAAAATGACTAAATGAGTAAATTGCATATGCATTCAATGAATCTGGCTACATTGGATTGTTTTGTTGTTTGTCTTCTTTTATTTTTAAACTCGAAATGAACACCTTACTAAACGTGAACCGATTGGACAAATTGGACGAAAATTATCGGTTTGACCACAGGTTATACAATTAGCATGCATTTGTCGTAATGTTTCAAGCTGATTTTAGAATAACAAAGAAACAGAATATTATATATGTATGTTTGATTAAGACTAGCAACATAAATGAGGCAAATAATTTGAATTATTTAAAGCAATTAGCCCCTTTGATAAATTTCGATAATGTAATAAGAAGACGAAGTTTATCAGAACTATGTGATGATATATTAGCGCAATATATTTCGAACAATCTGATCACACATTACATACTTGTTACGAACATTTATATATAAAAATAAATGGTCAACTAGATTGGAAATGAGGCAAGAGGAGACAAGTATAATAATAAGAGTAATAATAATAATGTGAACACAATTCAAAACCTAATCACTCTGGATGATAAGTCAATATTACCAGGGTAGATTTAAGTTGAGAAAAAAATGTTTTTGAATGCACAAAGGGGGTACGGCTAAGGCTTCAATAAACCTTAGTATGCGCCCTTTTGTTCTTTTATATAACACCACAAAAACCGAGTTAAGATCAATCTTATGGCCTGTTTCGATTATATATTTAGCAACAGAAGATGAAAGTTTATCCTCTACTCTTACTGAGTCACTTGATTCTATTTGATTCTGCAACCATTACTCTTATCATTATCATTGTCCCCTCCTACCCCATTTCCAGTCTGGTTGACCATTTATTTTTATATATAAATGTTCGTAACAAGTATGTAATGTGTGATCAGATTGTTCGGAATGTATTGCGCTAATATATCATCACATAGTTCTGATAATCTTCGTCTTCTTATTACATGATCGAAATTTCAATTATCCCATTGTTAATAATCTTGACTGAAATTTAATGAGTTTTTGTTAACATACAGATACCCTATATAAAATAACCATTATATTTTACACAGTTTTATAGACCACAAGGATTCATGTGTCAGTAGTTTCATCCGGATTCAAACTCCTCATCTAGATGTTTCTATATCTCAGTGGCTATTTAGACTTAGTTTTCCTGACCAACAAATTCTCTCACTCTCTCTCTGTGTGTGTCTCTTTCTCATTTATTATTGAATAAAATTGAATACATCACATTAAAAATTCAATCTTTCATTTATAATAGAAATGGATTAAAACAAAACAAAACAATTCGACTGATCCAAATATTTCGATTCTATCAGAACTATGTCAGTAAACAATGAAACAAAAGAAACGGAATAAGATAGAGAACAAACGAAATTGCGATGATTTTCTCTCTCTCGTTTTTTTCGCTTTTTGCGTTTATTTCGTTTGTTTTATTTTGAAAAAAAATATAAAAAATGGTTTTTAAAAACAAAATTTAAAATATTCATGTATAGAAAATAATAAATGGACTAGTTAAAAGAAAATATTCCCTAATTAATTTTACGGGATTGTACATAACTTAATGCGATCTAATCGAATATGAATAAATACAGATTTGAAAAAAAAGTAGGTTTATTAGTCTCCAGAGGGTTACTATTCGTTTTTCTTCTCTTACTTGCTCATATTTCACTCTCATTTTTTATCTGTAGTTTAGAGAAATGGATCAAAAATTATTTAAAGGAGAAAAAAGAAAAAAAAAGAAGAAAACATCCCAAATTATATTACCTCCAGTTATAATCTATATATTTGAAATTCAAGTAGTGAACTGAAGTTAGATTATGAAATTTAATTTGGTCATTTGAATTGATCTTACTTATTTTATAAAGTGGAGTTGGATTCTATTCAGAATTAATTGTTATATACTGTTTATTAGGGTTGGATGGATTTGTTTTGTGAGGATGTATTTTTGAAATGAATTCCTTTCAAGACAAATGTTGTTGTAGATTCACTGTCACGAAATCGATTTCATCTTCTTATCTAATTTATTGCTTTTATAGATCTATTTACTTGATATTTCGATCTGTAATGGGTCAGATTTTTTTGACAAATGTACATAGTGAAAGGAATGTCTCAATATTACGATTGAGCCACAAGTTTTTAGCGCAGATTTGTGATGTTCGGTAATGGAATGGGAAACTATAAAGCCTTACAAATCAAATTCATACTCGCTTTATAAGGTGGTTTTGAGGTAAATCTAGTTGACAAGTCAAAAATAGGACTGAAAACTTTTCCTGTATTCCATCCATACGAAAGAGGTGTTCAGTGCTTCCAGGTTTTCATTGATTGATTCAGTTTCAAAAAATTTAACATAAATGACACAAGGTAGAACAATAGAAAATTTTATTTTTTGACTCAAGTGTATAAACTTACTTGATCAATAGTCATCACTACCGGCTCATCTAGAACGATCCATGTGACACATTCATTACATGGTGGGGTAGTTAATGATCCGGAATATGTGTAGTATCTGGATAAATCATCTGTATGATATAAAAATTTCACGGGTAAGGAAAAACAATCATTTAATATGCAACTGAAGAATTGACCATTTATAAAACAAATCACCTAAAGTTATGCACTTTATTTTTAAAGTTCAATTAGAGTATGCATGATTTTAGTCAGCCTCTAAATGCCCTGGTATTGTCGAGGGTGGAGATAGTCAGCCTCCCCTCTCGAAATGCTCTCACATGGCCACGCGTATATATATGTAGTGTCGGTTATTTGGTTAAGCTCATATACCTTATTCTAGCTTTCGGATAGCCCATTCTATTCCTTCTAGTTAAGTCACATTTTGACCTTGTTATTTATTCGCTTATCAATATTGACTGTTTTTATATGAGCGTGGAGGTGTGTGTAAAATTCTTATCCCACCACTCATCACATGTCTGTAACTTACTTTTGTGTAACTATAAGTATTGATTAACGTTTGTTTAAATGGGAGTTGGTTACCAGCCATCTCCACTCTGCGTTGTTTCTCTTCTCTTTATTCCATTCGCTTTATATACAAAGATATATGTATTCACAAGTCCATTCTCGTTATTCGACTTATTTAATTCCGTTATTGACTAACGCGATTTAAGTCGATGATTATATACGAGGATAGGCGATAACAAACATTCATACGATCTAATTGGAGTCAGATCCACGGGTCACTAAATATCCACTGCCAGGGAAGTCCTAATCACCGCCTTCTCGAGACGGGGAGGTTGCTTGCGAAATTGAGAGGACGAAAAGCGAATGTCCGGCACTTTAACCGAGTTAGTTGATATGGAGGATTCACCTGGAGGAGTTGGTACACCTTTATTCCAAGACAAAGGTGCACATGGGCTCCAGGAGTTAGTTGATATGGAGGATTCACCTGGAGGAGTTGGTACACCTTTATTCCAAGACAAAGGTGCACATGGGCTCCAGGATCCTGAGGGAATGACTGACGTATCAACATATTGTTGGTCACCGGCTACCATGGGACTGCATCTCCTAACCTTGGTCTACTGCATTGTGGATTAGACCCCAAGGTCAAAGGCACGATGTGTAGTTTCCTAAGAAAATTACGTGCTTCCGTTTGGGCACGCGGTCAGTATTCTAACCCTTACACAAATCAAATGATTTGTGGGACGCAAATATATTTGGTGCCTTCATATACCAATGTTTATGTGTTTAAATAAAATAAATAAACGAACCAAGAAACTTTAGGTCTCATGACAGACGCTTAACATTTAAACCACTAAGTCCCCATTCAATCACATCTACGCTTAACTTCAATCAATTCACATTATTGCGCAATCAACTTTCATTGATAAGAATGAGTAAATGCTTCACTCCCTAAATAGTTGAATTCCATGGTTATTAACTAGAACTCCCAGAACAAGTACGCCGAATAAGCTCCTAGTGTGCAAACGATTACGATAAACATAAAGAAATGATGGAAATTGTAAAATTGTATAGTTGTCTATGTACTGTAATCTCACCACGAAACCTGAAGTCCGTGGATCCTTACCTCAAAGTTCGTGGATGGGTACTGTTCTGAAGCCCTGTACTAGAACAAAACAGCTTTTTCAGTACACATTGATTTGCAGTTTATCTAATTAAGATCGAATTTTAATCTGAACCATAAAAGACAAGATAGCAATGAGTATTTAGCTTATCATTCCTACTGATTTTATTACATTCAAGCTAAACATACCAAACCACTCATAATATATATTAGTATTCATACATTGGTTTTCATTGTATCACTATCTTATACCTTAATTTTGCTTGATAAAATAACTTGATACTGTTTAATTAACTAATTATTATTCGTAATTCATTTTGTATTGGTTATCTGAATATTCTCATTGATTTTTAGGACTGTAATTGATAAGTCTGTAATCTCCATCCTGCGGGGATTGCCTCGATAATTCCATGAGTTTCAATCATTATAAGCAACGATGGATGATAACTATCAGTGGAATTCAGGACAAGTGTTTCTTCCATTGTTTTGAACATTAATTCTGGAATGTAGATACATTCAACTAATGAGTTCCAAATAGGTCGAAACGCGCGTCCTAGATTTCACTGCTAACCACCATCCACCTCGACTTATTATTATTGATGTTTTTCAAATGATTTAAGAAATGTATTCAATAAAATATCATGTTGTTTATAAATAAATTAGAATCTAACATAAATTAAGGAAGCAAAATCTTTAATTAAATTTTATTTTAATATTAAAACAACCATTAAAAAAAATAGTTGTAAGTCTTAAGAATAATTTAAACTTTGATAAATTTTTAGTTATCAGTATAGGGTTATGAATATTATTGAGTTTTGATTGAGAACATGAATAGATCAATGTTAAACTACCATTGAAAACATGGAAGCACTGGACAGTCGTTTCCTCCTAGTCTCAGATCATGGATGCATACTGCTGAGGAGTTTCATACTAGGACGAAACAAACATCCAGTATTTACAGGTTCTTAATGGCTGTCTAACATTGATCGGTTTATGTTATCAGTCAAAATGTTTAGTTATTATGTTCAAAATGTCATAAGTTGAATAATCAGATAATGTATCCCTAATAAATGGATAGTTATATTACATTGACTGTGTCAGAGAACAAACCAGATTCTAGTGGAGGAAGAAATCAGGAAGAAGCAATGGAAGTGGATAGGGCACACATTGAGGAAAGCACACAACTGCGTCGCAAGGCAAGCCCTCGCTTAGAATCCCCATGACCAAAGGAGAAGAGGAAGACCAAAGAAAACGTTACGCCGAGAAATGGAGGCAGATATGAGAAAAATAAACAACAATTGGATAGAACTAGAAAAGAAGACCTAGGACAGAGTGGATTGGAGAATGCTGGTCAGCGGCATATGCTCCATTAGGAGTAACAGGCGTAAGTAAGTAAGTAACTAAGTATATTACATTGAAGAGTTTTAATTTAACCTTAAAAACCATACTACAATTAATGTTGTGTGAATATTACATGATAAGATATTAATAATACTAGAATAATATCACTAAATATCTTCATAATAAAAGAAAGATATTAAAATTAAAATCCAAAACAAGAATAATAATAAGAGACTTATAGCCAATGAAACTTATTGTTTTATTGAAAAAAGAGGAACTTTTCTTCATGATAATACGGTTTATTAAAGCCAAATAATTAATTGTATTTATAATGATTAAAAAAACCATATTAGTCTCAGAAGGGGTTTTGTGTATATTAATTTTAATTGTTAAGGTCATGAGTCAATTAAAGCTAGACTGCCGTGGGAAACCTAGAAGCAGTGGACGGTCGTTTCGTCCCACTGTGGGACTTCTCAGCAGTGAGCATCCACGATACCGCCTCGCCAGATCGAGCACTTAAACTCTAGACCACTGAGCCGGCATCCAGGGGTGTTAATGTCTAACTTCAGCTAATCAACAATGGTGGATGTGTCGCCCAATATTGTGGATTAATAATATTAATCTGTTAAAAATTAAAAGCGAGTGTATCACCAACTGTTTCAAGTTTTTTAACTTTCACAAGAATCCTCATGAAGATATTGCTTTGAACGGATTTTTAAAAGGTTAATTTAGCACAGTCAACGAATTCATAGAGAAATATTTCATTTCACTTGAATTAGTTTTTAAAATAATCTACGCAGATAACCTAATTGTTGTGTATTGTAGGAGTTTGAACAAATAAGGCGTTCGTGCCTAAAATCTCTGTGCGTGTGTGTGTGTAGATGTGTCACATGTAGACACTCATTCTTTTATGATCTTAACATTTATTCTAGTTTGTTTTTTTCTATTTTTCCCATCAACAATGCCCTCAAGCAATTTTTCATGGATGTTAATTAATTGTGATTTATCATTATTTCTATTTTTCATTTCTTTCTCCAATCCGTTTTATGGACAATTAAGTTATTTCCATCTTAATATTCAAACATTATACAGTGTATAAAAACAATAACAATGAAATTAATAATAATCTAATGACAGTTTGTCAAGGATTATAAATTCATGTGTTTTGAAGAGAAATAATGAATAATTACCAACATAATGTACATAAATTGTGTACGCCTTTCACTAATAATACAGTTGTACAGCTTCGGTAAATGATTTTGTAGAAGAGAAGTTTTTCCAGTGAATTGTCTTCAATTCTTTGTAATTAAGCGATCATATAAATTAAGTGGGGATAACCTCCACTGTGATTCGCAATTTTGACCCTTCACTTGACAACCACCCAAAATAAAACGGGAATTATTGATTGCACTATAATAATCCATGATGGAGGGCGTATTTCGTTCTCTGTCGTTTTTACTCACCTACATGAAAAATGTGGAATTTTCTTCGACTAAATTACCACTTCATGATGCTATGGATCCATTAAGTGTAGCAGAGTCAGCCATGATAGAAGAAAAATTACAACATAGCAAAAATCATACCTCAAATTAATTCTATAATAAAAATCATCTTAAAATATCCATAATTTAGTGACTAAATAAACGAAAACATACCCATTATTACTGATATTATTAACTTAGATAACTTGACAACGCGGAGTTTATCCCCAGCCTATAAATTATTTTGTTTCAAATTAAGGTTTTATTGACTAAATCTTTATTTCATTACTTAATTGAGAAAAGAACAAAACTGATTTACACTTAAAATAAATTGATAGCTCAAAATCGAGGAGATAAAACTTAAAAGTAATTGTTTTCAATGACAGGGATGACACAGGTGTCGTTTGAGGCTACGGGACAATATCTTTCATAGTGCATGTAGAACTTTGAAAAAAAAGCAATGAAGATTAGTAATACAAGTAACTAGAACTTTCAATTCACCATTGTTTCTAAGGTTGTTGAAATGTTTAGTTCTAATGTTGAGAAATGTATTAACATTTGTTACGTAAAAAAGTTTATAAAGATAGCTAAAATGCACACGAATTCAACAAAGTTTGTATTTCTATCGTATTTACAACTGCTTTTTGTCAAAAAGGATTGAACTTTAAGATTGGAAGCTTGGAAAGCATTACATCGGCAATCTGTTAAAGTTAGATATGTAGTTTGTTGGATTTCGGCTAAATGACCTAGAAGTTAAATATTTGGGCACGAAATAGAAGGTTCTGAGTTTGGTCTCAATAGTGGAGTTCCATACTAGAAAAAAAAGTCCAGTGCTTCTGTATATTCAGTGACTGTCTAGCTATGATCACTTTCGAGTTTAAACCAAGAAACGTCCACGACATAATGAATATTATTTCATGTTTACAAGTAGTAGTAACCTAAATTTAATCCAGAATGTCGAAGGTAAAATATTCATTCTAAAAACAGTTGATAGAATCTTCAATCTTTGATTTTAATCCGAGTATATTGTACTCATGAACGACGAAGTAGATAATCAACACTTACGCACGTGCTAATTTTTCAAGTGATTTTGGGAACAATTATAATGTACGAAAATGAAATGATAGTCTGTTTCATTCGTATTGATTGTTTGAATATTCTCGTTGACGATTACGGCTGCTATTGGTCAGTCTCTTTTGGAATATGTGAAGCCTATGCAGTTTGCCTAGATTTTAAAATTAAATAACAATATCGCAGTATCGAGGTAATCCACACAACGTACATATATATCAAACTAGAGTGATCAATTGCAGTCGCAAAGTGCTAATGGAAGGATTCGAACAACCAAAACAAATGGATTAAATTTCGCTCAATTATACAAGCCAGTGTCTAGTTGAAACCTGGAGCGAACGGTATTCACATCGAGTTGCCGGATAAACGGTCATTCTAAGATGCAGGTACATCTAACTGAAGAGTCCTGAAGAGGCTGAAGTGGGAGTCCTAGATTCCACTGCTAGCCATCAACCGACGGCCGATTCCGTTTACAAACCTAGACATAAATGACATTTCGACAACACTAGTTGGTAGAATGCTAGATAATATCTTTTACTTACGTCGTCAAGTTTGCTCCTTAATTCACGGATACATTTCTTTCACATCACATTATATATATATATACGTGAACAATGCATCTAGATCACATTCACTAGAAACTGAAATAATTTGAAGGACTTTCGAAAATCAGTGATTGCCAGATAGGTGTGAACTTCAACTGACGTTCGTTTATAATAAAATTCACCATCTGATTATAAAATACTTTCCAGAGTCACTTCAATATAACATAAACATGCACTTGACAACTAGATTTGAGAAGGATATCTGAACGTTCTAGAGGAAAGTCTATATATATACGATTATCATAAGGACCGTACCAAAACACAATTTTACTGAAATTGAAAGTGCTGATTTTTGGTTTTCAGCTTAATAATCTAATCATACAGTAGAAGTTGGATGACCTTAATTATACTTCATATGAAGTTTTAGATAAATGTGTATGACTGGGAAGTATCAAACAATGAGTGAAAAACTATGCAGCGCTTCTTCGGTTTTCGGCAATATGAACTCGTCATATAAAGTGACCAATAAATTACTTGAAGTCTAATGAAAAAGGACCAAGGTACTATACATATATTTATCAAAATCTCTAGAACTACCATTTGTTGGAAACCTTTGTAAAACTCAACCTAATCTCTTAAGTCTATTATTCTAAATCTAGTATCAATCATTATTCATTGGCAAGAATATTATATAAAGATGAGTTTTATGTGGGAGTTACCAATCGGATTTATCAGAAGGAGATCATTCACATACTTTGTTAAATACTTTACTTAGTATGAAGCATTAAAGAAGGATCTATCAACATGTATTTCTTTTTTTAAACATACCAACAGTAATACACACATAATGAATGACAACGATGTATAGTCATTACAATTAACTAAAAGTAAATACAAAATACCATAATACGTGTATAATTTACACAAATTATCTCAACAATAAGATTATTGGTTACTATGTCGTTCAATAAAATAAAACATCAAATTTATAGGCTAAGAAATTTATTCCCTCTTACAACCAATTGGTTGATTGATTTTCACCTTTGGTATGTATAATTGAAGGCAGAATATACAACAGCAACAACAAAATGTGAACAAGTAATTTTGTTTAACAGTCATCAAAAAAAATGTATAAAATTAGTTAAATCATTAGTGAACATTTACAGTAAGTAAGTGGTAAAAACCGATTACTAAATAGTTCATAATCAATAATAAAAACAAGCGTGGAAAAGTATAAAATTTTAACAAACTAATAAAATAACAACATTATTGTGTAAATTTCATTTAGGTAAAATGATTGTACTTGACTTTGTTAATAAAAAAAGCTCAACATTTAGACAGCTTAGTAAATCTTCTCTAGTCGTCAAGGGGACTCCGTGATATTATTTAATTCTAGGCGGCCTGTATGAATATCTGAGCTACCTGTTCCTGTTATCTGGATATTTCAATAAGTTATCTATTTTCTTGTTTGTTTTAGCACATCATTATACCCATCAGTCGCATAACCTATTTAGGAGAGTTTATGAGAAATTTATAACATTTCGCTGTACAAGTTACAAAAGAGCCCAATCAGAGACATCGTGGTTTCTGGCAATATGTATCGAAATGAATGTATGTTATTCAATTAGTCGATTCTCGAACTGCTAACATCTAATTAGTGATTACTCAATATTTATCGTCAGGATCGATCAAGAAAGAAGAAAAGGAAAATTTTTGAAATACTTTGCGCTGAGAATTCTATATTGTACCAGAAATGTAATACCGAATGAAATCAGTAATAATAACAATTAAATGGATAAGATAATTACATAAATTAGTTATTTGGATTTTTTTCTTGAACAAACCATAATATACCAGAGAAACTCAATAACTTTACTAGAAAGTGTCATTAACTGATAAGGAACATAAAATGTAGTCTATAAGTTAGAGAGAGTATATATGGCAACTATTTGCATGATTTCCATAAATTGTAAAATTGTTTAAATGATGTTATACACCAATTTGATTATAAACCACTGATATATTTGTACTATTTTTTTTAAAAAAAAGCAAAAGATTACTTATTACAATATGAAAAACTTTTTTTGAAATTTTTGTATGAAAACGGAAATCTTATCAATAATAATAACTTTTTAATCATTGGAGTAATCGGATTGTACAGCTTGGCAACAATCTAAATATCCCCCCCCCCAAAAAAATCATGATCTCAATAGTTTAGTAATCCGGTGTTTTTTTTAAAAAAAGAATATTTAATAATTTTATTCGTAGTTAAATAACGTTCATGTATTCTAATAAAATTACTGGGCATAACATGAATTAGAAATTAAAAAACTATGTTTATAACATTTGACATTTGGCAAACGTTATTTGATCAGACCGTGTTTAAATCAATGAACATACATTTCTGTTTCTGTCGTACAGTATTAGATAATAATAATAATAATAACAGTGATAAGTATTGTGGTAATAGCAGTACTATACGTTTTGAGATTTTTATATTTTTCGTATTAAATAAACAGAGTTATGTTTAGAAAATCCAGTTTACCCTTTTTAAAAAATTTAATATTCAATCATTATCATTGGCCTACGTGAATACTCTTGTTTACGTAGATTTGTAACAACATTAACATTAGTGAAATGTAGATCAGTCAATTATCGTTAGTGTTTGCTTATAATAATGTAAATAATAAAATGTGTAATTATGATAAAGTGTAAAAATACTTTAATACACAGATATGATTTTATGTTTTTGTAAATAAGCTAATTATTAATTTCAACTGATTCATGCATAAATACATGCTAATTTTAGAGGGTGGATCAATCCACTTATCGTTTGTTACAAGTGATTGTGTTTTATCATTTTTCTATATTTGAATTCACTCATGAATTGAACCTAGACCACCATGGAAAACCTGGAGGCACTGGATGGTCGTTTCATCCTAGTATAGGACTCTTCAGCAGTGTTCATCCACAATCCCTCCTCACGAGATTCGAACCCAGGATCTATCCGTCTCGTGTGCGAGCGCTTAACTATTAGACCACTGAGCCGGCCGGCACGGAAAGGTGTTAATGTTTAACTTTCACCAATCCACAAAGTCGCGCCACCGGCCATCCAATGCTTCCACTTTTTCTATGGTGGTCTAGTTTTAATTGACTCATGAATTCAACTAATAAATTACTATAATATCCACAAAATCCCTCTCTGGTTTTTTCTGTATATATAGTTAAAATGATTATAGATTGATGAGGACGGAAATACAAATTCACTCTTTTCACAAATTTTTTTTAATAGCTACAAAAGAAGAAGTACTATCAATTTCAAGATATGCTAGTTAAAGACTAGATCTTATCAAAGAATATTGTCAACATTTATGATATAGCATTAAACAATACAAACTAGACATGTAAATGTTAAGCACTTAGAAAAATTACCGATGACTTGAGTTGAAGAAAAATAAAAATCTTGTAACATAAGACTTTTCTCATAATTTCAACTTATGCAATAGATGTACTTTTTGACTTGACAACCAGAAATATATATTCATAATGAGAGAATTCAAACCCCTACTAAATATTGTATATATATATATAGCTGTATATAGTTAAAAATTATTTACTTACTTGGCAAAAGTGTGTTCAAATCAAGCATAGGTTGAATATCTTTGCTTTCGCCTTTCTTTGTTGATTTTAACAATGAGCATAAACGTTTTAAGGCGTTATTATTATTCGATGATTTGCCCAACTATAAAATAAACATTAGTAGGGTCTGTTAATGATATTATCAGTAGTGGTAGTAGTAATATTGTTAATGTAATTTTGGAGCTTATTCAATGAATTCATTCGATAAATGTTACCTGCAAACTGACATTATCCCCACAAACCCCTTGAAGTAAACAACAATAATCCGCTCACTAGTGGTTTACCTTAAAATATTTAAGAAGTTGTAGCAAGAATAAGTAACAGGTTATGTTCACATACGTCGGGATTTAAATTAAATGTCATTATTAATATCAAATGATCGCCACATTTATATCACAAACTGATTTGAATTGGAAGTATTCTATTGAGAGCCTTGTACTAGGCTTCAAGGATTTGGGTTTGGTCCCTGGGGAGGTCTTGGGCATGCACTACTGATGAGTTTCATGCCAAGAAGATGCACTTATCCAGTGATCTTTGATTTTTAACGGTACATCAACGGAGATCAATCTGTGGTGAATACTGCTTTTAAATTTTAAAAAAATCTCAAAACTCCATAAAGTATTCATGGTCTATAATCTAGTGAATAAACGTTAACCATTTAGTTATTTAGTGAAAATAACGATAGTGCTGATCGGGTGGTTGATTACTTAGCAAACTATAAAAATTATAACTGGAATACTTCATTTACTTTTATTGTATACTTCCTTACATTTTTGATCGAAAAAAAAGCCTATTATTCATAACGTTAAGTTATTCGTGTGACTGACTAAAAAAATGTGTTTACGAGAACATGGAATATATCGTCAATGTGAGAATGTAAAATTTATGTAAATTTCTTCCGTATTAGTTACATCTATAGTACAAAATAGGAACAGATCAATTCAACTTTACGTAATCAAGCTTCTGTTATAAAGTAGGATTCGGTAGGGAAATAGAATTTGTAGTTATTAAAATAAAATTCATGTTTCGTTCTTCCTCTCAATGTCTTATTTAATCTAATTTAACCCACTCTAGTATTACAGACAAAAATAAGTGTCACTACAACACCATTAACGTATTTCATTTATTTTCAGAAAAGGTTAGTGGAGATTTTGGAAATTTCACAGATTGAAATCATGAGTCAATTGAAGCTAGACCACCATGGAAAACCTAGAAGCACTGGACAGTCGTTTCGTCCTAGTATGAGACTCCTCGGCAGTGCGCATCCACGATCCCGCCTCCCAAGACATTCGAACTCAGGACCTATCAGTCTCGCGCCAGGCACTTAACCAACTAGACCACTGAGCCGGTATCAAATGGTGTTAATGTCTAACTTCAACCATTTGTTTATTAGCTTAACCGATATGAATGATCTGTTATAAATAAAATGTTATTAAAACATCATTATAAATTTACTTGCTTTTTATTAGACATGAAAACCTTTTCACACACTATTGAATGGACAAAGCAAACTATCTGGCATCTTAAACTATTTCTAAATAATGAATTAGGAATTATGATTATAACGCTTAGATATTAAAAAAGAACTCAATCAAAATATTGATCATACTGAATATTCAGCCTTGTTTCTCTTTACTATTTAAACGAATGTTAATACAACTGAATTATTTATTTATTTACTCTGTAATGATCTGACTTATACAAAGCTGTGAAATTAACAGAATTCAATTTTCTACTCATTAGGATCATTGAGAAATAGATGAACAGTTTTTTCTTTCTATTATTGTAAATCATCATCAACAATTACAGAAGATGAAGAGAATTTAGCGAAGAAAATTTTCTTTTCGATGAAATCCAGAAGATTTGTTGTTGTTATTATTATCATAGAATTTGGAATAATTTAATAAGCAATGTCGAATGTAGTATGCACAATATTTAATCTTAATAGTTGAGATCATGCGTCAATTGAAGCTAGACCAGTATGGAAGATCTGGAAGCAGTGGAAGGCCGTTTCGTCCCACCACGGGACTCCTCGACAGCGCGAATCTACGATCCCGCCCCACAAGATTCCAACCCTGGACCTATCAGTCTCGCGCGCGAACGCTTAACCTCTATCAAAATCTCCACGAAACGCTTTCCAATATTTATTTGGTTGAAATCATTACCCTAGTCAAATCACAACAAACACAACGAATCGTTAAGGACAAACAAATATACAAAGAAACAGATTTGTTCCACTTTTATTAATTAAATTTAAAAGAAAAAGAGAGATTTCATTGAAATGGTGCACAATAAAAACAACCGATAATGGGTTTATAGCTAATTATATAAAGAATACTAAGAAGAAGAAAGAAAGAAAAGAAAAAGAGGAAGCAACTACATTAAATTATTCATAAGGAAAAAATAGCGAAATTAAGAAGAGAAAAAAAAGTAATCGAAATCTAAGTGTTTTTTCAAGTAAAAAGAAAGATTTCTTAATGAAAAAAATGAAAGTAGGTTGAGTTTCTGAATTCAGTAAAAAAAATTCAATTCGGTGACTCCTGAGACATGTTCTCTTTCATAGTTTTTGTTGTTGTGAAATATATGCGAAGCTTATGGATCTTCAAGCTTAAGTGTTCTTGAAATATTGATGAGGTATTGGGGAACAAACACGTAAATAGTATTAAGATGATATATATGGAATATTAGTCAATGACGAGTACTTTTACTATACGTTTTTCGTATTATTTTTTATTCATTTTCCGAACCAAGTAGAACACTTAATATATAATGATAATATGTATTCAAGACACAATTAATTGATAAAATGCATATGAGTTCCTTGTTCTATTCAAACAAGTATGGGCATTCCTACCTTTATATTTTCAACACAATTAAGATAACTGATTGAGCAAAGGAATTATAATGTTACGATGGCCTTCTGATCACATTAGCTGACCTTTTGTAGTAGTTCTTCATATGTAGAAGATAGTTCCAGAGCATAAAATTAGGAAATTTGTTCAATTTCTAATTAACCCATTTTAATAGGTTTTATGGCAGTTGGCCTATACACATTTCGAATAGTAAACGTAATTTCATCACCTGATGGGGTAATTTACAATAAATTTAGTAACAGTCAATTAAATCAATTGTAATCATTTCGCATTAAAAGTAGGGTAAAATTAGTAACACGTTTTGACGCCTTAGTTAGCGTTGAAGTATAGTAAAGTCTACGTAACAACATGTGTTAAAGATCACTATTAAAACATATTAAAAAGCGTTTACACTCTTTATTTAATAAAGAATCTATAAACCTAAGAATTAAAAACTACACTAGTAACTGCTTCTCACTAGAACTCCAGGATATACCTCTTGAAGCCAGTCACTAGTGAGCATATGTTGATTCATATCAGAAGGATATTATAGTAATTTCAATGGTTGAGATCATGAGTCAGTTGAAGCTATACCACTACGGAAAACGTGGAAGCATTGAACGGCACTGGATGTGTCGCTCGATTTCGTGGATCGGTTGAAGTTAGACATTAATACCGTTCAATGCCGGCTGGCTCAGTGATATAATGGTTAAGCGCTCACTGGAAGGTCCTGGGTTTGAATCTAGCGAGGAAGGATTGTGGATGCGCACTGCCGAGGAATCCCGAAATAAGACGAAACGGCCGTTCAGTGCTCCCGGGTTTTCCATGGTGGTCTAGCTTCAATTGGCTCATGATCTCAACCATTGAAATTGCTATAATATCCACAAAACCCTTCTGATATGAATTGAAAACTACTGAAGGACTGAACTTATAGCTAATGTTTGTGATCATCTTTACCATAAATGGTTGACTTTTATCAAGTGGCTCAGAGAGATTTTTTCCTACCCATATTCTGAAACCATTAGATTCTATTTGATATGATTTGGTGGATGTATTGCAGAGCAATATTTTTTCAGTACTCCACGGGTTTAAGACGTTCGGCAGTTAATATCATTCATTGGCAGGAAGTTGTTTTCAAAGTACCCTACAATCGGTACATGGTCATCTCGTTTCATAAAGAATAGATGAAATCTGGATTGAAGTTGTATCTAGGACATGAGCTTCATCCGATTTCGGACTCATCACCATGATGTACCAGTGTTTACAACTTGATGTCCACTCCAGGATTCGAATGTGGTTTTAATTTATAAGTTTCACAAAGCAATCTCAATATATTTCCAGTGAATTGAAATTAGAATAATCATCAAATATTTTTTCTTCAGACAAATATCAGAGAGAAAATTTGTGGGATCATTACGTTAGTGTAAATCAGAACAAAAGTGGAACAGAGAGCTTATGGCTTGAGATTTAAATTGAAGATGACTAAAGTTACTTCAAATGTGATGTGGATTTAAGTGTTACCCACAACCGCTCTTAAGTTTGCTAGTTCTCGTTTTAAAAAATTATAAAAATAATTTCGAGGACGATGAAGTTTTCAATGATAGGCTCCAAATTTAGTCTATTGAAGGTAGATATTTACCCATAGTAAACGTCACTATTTGTTTTATTCAGTGGTGTTCTTTTCTAAAAAGGAATCCAATCTAATCTCGAATGACTTCATTTATTCATTTTATGTATCGACAGACTCATGTTTAAGTGTTTTTCTGTAACATGAATCAAGAATAAGGTGTTGTCTGAGTCAGTTTAGCCGAAAATTTATTTTATCAAATAAATAATACTAAATATAACAATTATTATGAATACTGGATGCAAGAAAATACTAAAATAAAACAGATGTATCAAACATTTGTAAAGATTGGGTTTAATTTACGAGTTATCTTTCTCGTCTCAATTAGGTAAACACTACACGGCTATTTTCCCTCCGTCATGAACTTCTCAGCAGTAGTACTGTTCCATCTTCAATCAATTTACAACAGAACAGATGTAAGACAGTTACGCAATATCGTTATTTGATTTAAGTTAGACTTTAACGCTGCTTGATGCCAGTTCAGTAGTCTGAAGATTAAAAGTTTGTTCGCGAAATTCAGGATCCTAGGTTCGAACCCTGGCGGAAGTGCACTGATGATGGGTCTTATAGTAGAACGAAACGGCTATCCAAGGCCTCTACTTTTACAAAAGTAATTTAACTAAGGTCAGCTAATGATTTAAAATCTATTAAATATTACGCTATGGTGCGATTATCATCCAGTTTTATAGATATCAATAGTTTCAATCCAGCGATGTTTGAACTCTAAAAGTTATTAAATATTCTATCCAATTAAACAAGATTTCAATTAACAGTCTAAAAGGTGAACACCATACAGTCTTGTTTATAATTAAATAGATGAAATCCGGCATTCATGATGTTGGCCTTGTCACGGAATTCACCTGGCTTATTTCTACGAAACATAAATATATATATATATATATATATATATATATATATATATATATATATATATATCATTGGGATCATGGACCGACCAATGTTAGACCACCACTGAAAACTAGGAGGCAATGAACGACCATTTCTTCCCAGCATTGGGTTCCTCAGAATCTGGCATCCACGATCCTGCACGCAGAACTCCAACTCAGAACTTTCTATCTCGCGTGAACCTTTAACCTCCAGACCACTGAGAAAGCTTCACTTCAACTAATTCACAACAACACTGATCAGTTTATGATTCAAATCAAATTCATCAAACACCACAACCTCTAGCTGAAAATATATATCTTTTTATTTCATGAAATAAAAAATAGTTTGATGCTATGTTTTGGCTTTAATCAGTGAACTATGTTGACACTTACTTTGATGAATGTGGAAAAGAAAGTAATTTTTCTTTCATCATTATTACCACCTTATTACAATATAACTATAATGAGCGTATATTAACAAATACAGGTATGACTGATAATTCCCATTTGAACATTGAAAATTAAAAATACGAAGTTCAGAGAAGGGATCTATTTTCAACGAATTTATTATCAAGCTGTACAATCGTATATATATGAAAATTTTTTTTTTAAAGTACTAATCCCGTGAGGAAATGTGAACACGAATAACCAAGATGACATAATAGAGAGATTATAATACTAGTTCCGTAATACGAATCATAACAATAGATTTAGATTTAGTAAGCTTGTAACGAATTATAACTTGAATGTGGTAAGATGAATAACTTTCGCTAGTAGGAACGTATCTTCTGTATCCATAGAAGACAAGCTTCCGCGTCTGGTCGTCTCCATGTGCATCTACCAGTTCACTTGCTCTTGTGGAGCAAGGTACATTGGCCGTAGCCGGCGCTCTCTTTCAACTCGAATACGGGAACATGTCCCAGTTTGGTTCTACAAGAGTGGGAGGAAAGCAGCTAGGAGTTCTATACCTGAGCACCTAATCGACTGTAATCATTCTACTGATGCACAGTTTGATTTTAAGGTTGAATATATGATTCGTTCAAATCTACTTAGATTTCTTCGTATCCAACTCTTACTATCCATGAGCTCAAGCCAGAAGTATGCGTACAAGAGAAGTATGTCCTATCGTTATCGTTACCTTGGCCTTAATTATTTATTATTATTATTATTATTATTATTATTACTGCATTCCCCCTTTACTTATGTCCTATATTCTCATTATTTTATTCATAAATGCTCATCATATCATCCTATTTATTTTTACACCACTATGAACTTTAATGACCTTTAATTATTGTAACAAAAACATTTTAATCATTTTAATCATCTTACTACATTCAAGTTATAATTCGTTACAAGCTTACTAAATCTAAATCTATTGTTATGATTTGTATTACGGAACTAGTATTATAATCTCTCTATTATGTCATCTTGGTTATTCGTGTTCACATTTCCTCACGGGATTAGTACTTTTACAAAAACAAAATTTTCATATATATACGATTGTACAGCTTGATAATAAATTCGTTGAAAATAGATCCCTTCTCTGAACTTCGTATTTTTAATTTTTAAATACAGGTTTACAGATAATCTGCTTAGAGTTGGACTTTAATTGTGTAAAAACCAACGTTTCTACCCAGTTAATCAAACTAAAATAGAGTGAGGTTTCTAAATATAATCCTATTTTTTGTAGCTCACGAACCACTAATTATTTACTGAGATTGAACTGGATGAAACAAACACAGAGATGGTCAATTTATGACTCTGAAAAATAGTTAATAGTGATCATGTATGTTGGTCTATCATGATTGCATCATTTGGTTCTAATAGATCATTTATCTTCATGGGTTGAGACGTTACCAGATATAACTCAGAATGGAGATCGATGAAAACGTTACTGTAGATTTTTGTTACATGGCAAATGAAACTTTTAATTGAATGGGATTTGTCTTTGTAAATTTTTTATTAAAGCATATTCTTGTTGTCTCCTTAGTTAATGATTTTACTATTTTTTCTTCTTGTTTCTCCCCATAATATTATCATTTTCTTTCTTAATAGCCAGCTTTTTAAATGTCATGTTATACCAAAGTTTATGTCAAAGATAAAAAAATGGAAAACAATCAGTGTAGGGGGTTTGTGAAGATGTTTAAATTTTATAGTTTACATCACAAATGGACTATAATTTGAAAACCAGTTAATAGCAGGTAACACTAAACAGATATGTTGTCCTTGTATGATACTTCAAAGGAAGACACATCCACTACCACACTGTGAATCAAACTCAAGATGTCCAAGCATCGAGATAAGCGCTCAACATTTAGACTACGTAGTCCATTCCCATTATCCTACATTTCTAACTCAATGATCTAGACGTCGAGCACTCACAATGAGGCATTCAGTTACTGGGGTCGATTCTGAGTAAATATCTAGTTGGGCATTGCTGATTGGTCTCAAACATATGTTTATTACCTCCAAACAGAACCTAAATCTGCAATCTAATAAAGATTAATTTCAAGTGTTTCAATCATCGGATCGATAAACCATCCTTTCAAGATATATGAAGTAAAATACACTGTTTTTGTGATCATAATTTAACTAACTTGAAAAAATATACCGACAACTGATAATCCATCAGAATAAGTAATAGCGGTTTCCATTGTAGCATATTTAGTATTAATAAATACACAATGTAGTTCAGCTGGACAACTTATCCCATTGATCATATGCTCAGAGCCCCAATTATTACCAGATCCCCAATGTAAATGAAATTGTATCAGCTTATATTCTGATGCCAATGGACCACCGGATAATACTGCAAAATAATAGAAAAGTGGTTTCATAGAAAAAAGTTATAAATTTTAATTTATATTATATTTTCTAAAATAAGTTTTTAATGAAGTGCTCTAGAATTAGAAATTCCCGACAAAGATACGAACTTCATACCTTTAGAAAAGTTAGTAACTGTTTGGACTCAGTAGCTCAGTAGATAGCACGTCAGTACTTGAAGTGGAAGGCACTGGGTTCGAGTCCCAATGCGGACGCCAAAACTGACATGTTTGAAACCGATAGTACTTAGTTCAAGTTACATAATGAGTATCGACAATGGTATACAGGTATATACAGCCAACTGTTTCCAACTAGAACAGAAAGCGCTTCCCAGTTTTCATTCCGAGCAACTAACTAGCTCAAAAAATACTTCGAAATAACTGAAAATACACTCGGGATACTTTTGTATTCATGTACACTGATCGATTGTAGTTTTCATAATAACAACACAAAAATACAGAACCTTACAAAAAGAAACCACTTTTAGAAGGTTCATAATTCGTTCCTAATGGTATTTATAATTATTTTTGATATAATCTAAAAATGTTGTTATGCTTAAACTAAATAACATTTCACTCAGGAGTGTCAAAACATTTCTACCAAATCAAATTAAATGAGTAGACATTTTTGTAACATAATCTGTCATATTCACATTCCCTTAAGGAAATTTCAAGTATAAGCATTAGATAACGGTTTTCTATAGGCTTTCTTTTCAGTTATAACGGTAAATAAAAAATATACAGATAAAATAAGCAGTGTATAATAGTCTATAGATTATTTTTCATATGTTATCTCATCAGTTAGAAGTAAAACAAAATTGCCATTTAAGCTCAGAGACTAATTTCTTCATACGCTAGTGATTATATATGTAAGTATATACTTTACAATTAACAATAAAATCGATATCAATTACAAAATGGTTATTTATTTAAACACATAAAAATTGGTACAAAGAGGCACCAAACAGATATGCGCCACATAAGTCATTCGATTTATGTGTGGACTGGGATACTGCTCAGGTGCCCAAACCGAAGCATGTGGTTTTCTTAGGGAACCGCACCCGGAGCCTTCGACCTAAAGGTTTAATCCACAAGACAGCGGAGCAACGTAAAGAGATGCGGCCCCATGGTAACCGGTGACCAATAAGTGCTTCATGCACCATTTGTTTCCTTAGGATCCTGGAGCCCATGTACACCATTAGTGTGGAATCAGGGTTTTCCAACTCCCCTAGGTGGATCCTCTGTGTCCACCAACCCTCTTAAAGTGCCGGACATTTGCTTTTTGTCCTCTCAATTTCGTAAACAACAAACCTGCCACTAGAAGGCAGTGAGTAGGACTTCCCTGGCAGTGGTTGTATGCACATGACCATGTGAGAGCATTTCGAGAGGATGAGCTGACTCTCCTCACTCTCGGCAGTACTTGTGCATTTAGGGGTTAGTCGGGATTTTTGACCAAGGGCACAATTCAAAGAGGAAAGAAAACAAGATTATTGCTGTATTTAAATGTACTGTAATAATTATTATTTATTAATTAGATTTTAACATTGTTTTGAAAAATTACTATTCATTTCATAGTAATCATTCAAGCTTAAACTATATACCCCCATTTAACTGAATTCTAATTAATTTATTCTTTGATATTGTGCTTACCATCGAAAAGTTGAAGAGATCTAGACTTTATCGTGCATGTGGTCAAATTGCTTACTGTTGCAAAATCCTAAACTAGGACAAATTAACCACTCAGTGTCTTTTTATTTTTACGTACGTATATCCAGTTGATTGTGATTACAAGTGATTGATTGCTGAGTAGTAGACTAGTGTTAAGGTTTGTCTAATCTTTTAGTGTAAGCGATATTCAGTCACAGAACTAGAAAACATAGCGTTGGTTACCACGTAGTATCAATCAAATTTAAATATCTCAGCCAATCCCACGCCGAACAGCTCAGTGGAAACGTCCCGATATGTAATGCTATACGACACCTGTTTGAACCTATCAAGAAGCATCAGTTAACCCAGGATCCCAAGCACGTCTTAATGACAAATGTTAACTAGATTTTTTGACGACTAATTAAGACCTCCTGAAGTTCATATTTGTCCATAATAGATGCTATCTTTTTTAATTATATTTTCTCAAACACTGTTGATTCAACAATGACTGGAAATAGTGTTATGAAAATTTGTGTTAATAAGTCAACTATTATATATACTTATTAGCATAAGCTGCTTTCAGATTAATATATTCTTTCTCAATTAAGAATAGAATTTGTTATGATCTGTATCATAATGCGTGAATGGATAGATAAGAAAACTCTAGCGAAATGACGGGATAAAGACATTTTTCACCATAATGTGAAACCGATTTCGAAGATAAAACTTAAACAAACAAGAATACGATTATCACATGATGATGAAACAAAGGTGAAATTGTATCCATCATATTTTTCCAAGACACCATATGTAGTTCATGGAACTATTTAAACATATTGTGTCGTGCTCATCGTATTTAAGAAATGTTGAATCACTTTATGTTTATGGTTGTCATATTCTCAGTTCGGGTGAAATGCTCTTCGTAAACTTTTACCTCTACAATTCATTGGTCACTAAGTAGTGGTAATTAAAGTGTTCATCTTGTTCTTTAGTATTGACCAAGTTCTAACGATTATGTTACAATTAGGTCACTAGTCGAAGTGAACCGACATCACATCCACTGTGTCAAGATCTCAGGTGACTGAAAGCAGTCAGTATGAAACCTTGCCCGAACCAGGCTCCTTAATGTCAAGAACTTGTAATGTTGAGAGAAACGATGATTTTCGGATACACTTATCTTCACATCTTGATAAATCATTACCAACCAATTCAATCCTCGATAGATCTTCAGTAGGATTGAGTTATCTCCGATCGATTAATCATTGAGTAGTAACCAATTTCATGCCTACATTGTTTCGTTGTCAAAATATTTCCTACACACAATCAATGCACAATTATCAAAAAGATATTCTTAAACCATTTTTATTTCATAAAGATCTTATGTTACAATGGAGAGAATTTATATATAAGACGGATCTTGATCGGATTAAGTTGCCCGGTCTTAGAAGAAACAATATTAGCAAAAGATTTTATGGAATCCAATGATATTTAACTAATTGTTTGACTAACTGATGTAAGGCCACTCACTATCGTTTGGTCTACCAAACTGGATTTAAATTGAGGACATGTTATTTTTTATAAGTTAGAATTTTCAATATTTTTTTATTTTGAGATATCCTCCTATATGATTATAATTTGGAATGGATCACATTTAGTTTAATGTATTGTGCGATTTATTGATTTAATGATAATTATCACATACACCAATATAAGTTCCCTACGCTTCGTAAACTATTCTATTTCTCTTCAGTAAACCACAGTTGTGATAACTACAGGGGCATCACTCTTCTCTCAATACCGGGAAAAGTCTTCAACAGGGTATTGTTAAACAGGATGAAGGACTGCGTAGACGCCCAACTTCGTGACCAACAGGCAGGATTCCGTAAAGATAGATCGTGTACAGACCAAATCGCAACTCTACGGATCATTGTGGAACAATCAATTGAATGGAATTCATCACTCTACATCAACTTCATTGACTATGAAAAAGCATTTGACAGCGTGGACAGAACAACACTATGGAAACTTCTTCGACACTACGGCGTGTCTCAGAAGATAGTCAATATCATACAGAACTCATATGATGGATTACACTACAAAATTGTGCATGGAGGACAGTTGACAGACTCGTTTGAGGTAAAGACCGGTGTCAGGCAAGGTTGCGTACTCTTACCCTTTCTCTTTCTCCTAGTGATCGATTGGATCATGAAGACGTCAACATCTGAAGGGAAACACGGGATACAGTGGACATCTAGGATGCAGTTGAACGATCTAGACTTCGCAGATGATCTGGCCCTTCTATCCCAAACGCAACAACAAATGCAGGAGACGACCAGTGTGGCAGCAGCCTCAGAAGCAGTAGGTCTCAATATACACAAAGGGAAAAGCAGGATTCTCCGGTACAACACAGAATGCACCAATCCAATCACAATTGACGGAGAAGATTCGGAAGATGTAAAAACCTTTACGTATTTGGGCAGCATCATTGATGAACAGGGTGGATCTGATGCAGATGTGAAGGCGCGGATCGGCAAAGCAAGAGCAGCATATTTACAACTGAGGAACATCTGGAACTCAAAGCAACTATCAACCAACACCAAGGTCAGGATTTTCAATACAAATGTCAAGACAGTTCTACTGTATGGGGCAGAAACCTGGAGAACTACGAAAGCAATCATCCAGAAAATACAGGTGTTTATTAACAGTTGTCTACGCAAAATACTTCAGATCCATTGGCCGGACACTATTAGCAACAACGTACTGTGGGAGAGAACAAACCATATTCCAGCGGAGGAAGGAATCAAGAAGAAGCGCCGGAAGTGGATAGGACACACATTGAGGAAAGCACACAACTGCGTCACAGGACAAGCCCTCACATGGAATCCTGAAGGCGAAAGGAAAAGAGGAAGACCGAAGAACACATTACACCAGAAAATGGAAATAGACATGAGAAAAATGAACAAGAATTGGATGGAACTAGAAAAGAAGGCCCAGGACAGAGTGGGTTGGAGAATGCTGGTCGACGGTCTATGCTCCTTTGGGAGTAACAGGCGTAAGTAAGTAAGTAAGTAAACCTCAGTTGCAGTTTGCGTAATTATGTGCTTGGTTTTCATTAATTCTTTTAGTTCACAATATTAGACCATTATTTCGGTAAACATACACTCAAGTAATATACATATGATTACCCCTTTTTCCACAGAAGATGAATCATACCATTTCACTATTATATAAATTAATTACGCATTATCTTAAGCTGGTCTAATTCGTTCTGCACTTAATTAACAAATGAATAACTATAGAAAATTGTTATTTTATGCTTCCATGAACATTAAAATATCCA